GGACTCATTCGAACCTATAGGTGGCTGGGTTTCCACTTGCTTGGATGAACCCACGGAGCTCCTCTCTATGGAACGTTTCATCCGTCTTGTAGGCTCGCGCTGTTTTTCGGCTCTTTGTGACTGCATAGTGGCTTGGCATTTCTTGCACAATATTTGGACAAAGTGCTGCTAAATTGCACACAGTAGTTTAAAATTATCTAAAGATAACCCAATACATGAAATGTGGAAATTCACTCGAGACATAAGGCATGTAACCGCATTGGTTCTATGTCCAACTATTTTGCAACAACTGCCACTAGGAGTCAGCTTCGTCATTACGAATAGCTTAGCAGATGTGACGGTAAAGATGATAAATTGAACGCTTAGTACGCGGTAAAAAAATACCAGAGTGAAATATACGGTCACGATACTAATACAAAATAAGCAAATTCGGAATCGCCAAAGAAACTGAATTTGACAGAAATAAACACGAAAATTCTGCTCTGCACAAAGTAATGTAGGATATAAAATGGCGTGTCAATCAGAGCGAGAAAAGCCGTCCGGCCAACGCGTGGCACACGGTTAATGATTGATTTTGAGGGTCATTTTGAACTACACGGACAACACCCAGTTTCTATCTGATTGGACTATTTAGTTCATGATTTGTCGACAATGACTACTTTTCACACTTCTAACGATACTGAACTGATGATTTGACTTATTGATGTTACGTGTTTTCGCTTTCATCAACCATGCCGTAACGATCTACTCGACTAAATACCGGTATGTTGTCATAACTCCACGGTTGAACGAGGTGCTGGTTTAATGCCTTTTGTGGGAATGCCGGTTGAGGAATATTTAAGTTTATCGCTTGTTAGTTGGAAATAGACCCTCCGCCGCCTTATTGGATTGTCTACAAAACTTGAACTGCTTTTGTGGGTTAAATCACGTTTTCCATCCGTTCGCCCTTTCCTTGTGCATCATATGCTATCGTTATACGTAACTGGGCGAAAATGCGAGACAGCCAATCGATGGCACGTCATAAAGGAATGAGTGCATTGACTGAAAGACTAGGTCAAGTTGATACAGACTTCTCCGACTTCGGGGTGAGCCACATTAGTAATTGGAAACTTTTTTGAATATAACACAATAACGAAGTAGGAACACGTATTTTCGGTTTCTTGAACGTAGCTGTTTATCATCCATTCCGATTAATTTTACTCACTTTTTCCAGGACTCATTTTTTTTGCTTTTTGTTCTTATTCCACTTCATTTCCCCTTCCATTGTTCCTAACGGTTTTCTTGGTGGCGCATGCCATGGTTACTGGATGCAGAGCGATTCTGTACCCGGATCATAATTATTTGACGGAACTGAACTAAACTTCATAGTATCATCTGATACCCATTGTCAAATATGCTGCATTAGTCGGCTGTGGGTCCGAAGGATTACGCGCCTGCGTTGTAACCCGGAGGTCACCAGTTTGAATTCGCCTAGGCGCGGACCGCCTCGCAGCATACCTGGCCCTCGCGCAACTATTGTAGGCCGCATGGCAACGGAGCGTCGGTACGACGTGCCGGCATACTGATGCTGCATTCAGTCATACGCAGTCGTGTGCGGATCTGTAGTGTCTACTCAAATTCCGACACTGCTTGCCCGCATGACCCTCATCTTTGCTTTTCCACCTAAGTGCTATACTTCTAGTCTGCATACTCACCAACTGAGTTAATTTAGTGGAGGTATACTGGCACTCCTAGTTGAAAAACTGGTTATCTTAATGAACCAAATGAATAGGTCGAATATTAATTGGGATTGTTTTCAACATGTCACGAACTGGTCCGCTTAAGGTATATGAGTGAAACTTGATTTGAGGCAACGTTAGTTTTTCTTTGGAGCGCTGTAGGAGATTCCATGTTGTCTGGATATATTGCTCACACATCTTCACATGGGTTCTGGTTGGCCGCAATAGTTGGTAAGTGGATTGTCCCGTTGCTTCTCCTCCGGCCGTGAATCATATTGCTATGGCAATAAGGGTTGAAGCGCAAAGATTTAAGCAGAAATGTCTGTGTAACGTAGGTCCACACAGTCAGATAGAAGTGTCAACTGTCGGCTATAGGATACCGGATACCGGCGGGTTATTGAGCTTACGGCTGCTCTACATCGGAGTGGTTTTCCGATTTCTGATTTTTGATAGAGATTCGTCACAGTCTTACCTATTCAGATGGCTATTGCATACCTGGGAAAGCACCTTACGACCGTTTCATTCTTTCGGGAATGGTCAGCAGCGCGCATCATATCTCTTCCTTTGTATAGATACTAACTGCAACGTGACGCATGCACGTCAGTGGTTGAGGCCACTGGGCCAGAAGAAGCGTGATCTCCACAATAACTAACTGACTGGGATATAGCGCAATTACTGATTCTCCACTGCCATGGGTGTTTCCAACCTGCAGAACTCCATCCCGGAAAACGGCGGGCATAAATCCAACCAAGCCTCTCGACTCTCCAGTTTTATACTTTACTCCGACAATCATAGCAACGAACAGCTCACGCGGATGAAGGCGCGCAGCAGTTTTACAAAACGTGTAACCTGACTAACGTAAACCATCAGATGCGATTGACGGCATTATGCGTTATCTAATGTTTTGTTGCCAAACCACAACTAGCAGTCTTCTGCCATAAACAGTAACTATAGGCATATCATCCAGGACTCACAGTCAAATTCATTCAACCCGTCATATTTTCCGTATGTAACGTCCTAGTCTTTACTTCTAACAGTAACACTACACTACGGTATCCAGCATATTGCTCTTAACCGATAAGCTAAAAGCATACCATTTCCATGGCGTTAAAAGCACCCTAATATGAGGTTTCAGTAAACTGTTTTATTTCACTCTGTGGAAGTGTTTCAGCTATTTGGCTATGGGAACCAAGCAGTTGCTACAAGTGGCTACTCGCTACAAATTAGGAGCAGTGACCAAGTTCAGCGGCGCTCCGAAGTGAAGAGGCGCATGGCTTCGTCTACGGCGCTCTACATAAACCTATCCAGTGACACTTGTATGGTAGTTAGATCTAGTCTAAAAGAGCGATACCGTCCACATTCCCTGAGTTTGCCAGCTGTTCATCCGAAAGAACTTTTACACCAGCAAAAAGAGGACGGGATAGAGTTATTTATGATCACTTCGATTCCAAAGAACAAAAAACTCGTGCAGCCCTACCGTCTTGGTAGTTGAAGATAATTTTCCCATAGATATGTGCACTGCCACGACAGTCGGAGTAATGCGAACTCAGAATAGCTGATTTTTCTTGTTTGCGAGTCAAGGATGAGTAACCGCACGCAGTGGTGCGATTATGACTTTGTGTGTACAGTGTGCACTTGAGTTATTCGTTAGGCCTAGGGTCTCCTTTTAACTCGGATTTGACAATCGGACTGTGTCATTAGGCCGCGGACCCACGACATTATTAATTTTTCCCCACTTTTGCGTGACTTAATGGTTTGCATGTCTATCTTGCAGCATCTGTGCCGCAGTCTTGTCTTAAGCATGTTAATTGTGCGCTGAAGACTGACTGCTTTTTTAACACCGGCACCCGCCTATTGTTTCTCCTGTCTGGCGAGGTACCATATGAGTATTAGTGAAGTCTGCAAATTTGTTTTTCTTGAATACCTCTGGTGCCACACTGAAGTATCATTTGAACTTGTATTAACCACATTGATTAGGTGACTCTCTTCACCTATATACTGGCTGGTTGCATCGGCAAGTGCGGTTTACCGACGCTTCCCTTAGTATAGAAAGTACAAGGTAACCAGCGGACAAGTTTAGCAGGAACATGACGAAATTACCTCATTGACTGAGCCAGGTTTTCGCTTGTTGTCTTTTTGAATTTTGGTCTCGGAATTAACTTCATCATTTGTTCGATACTCTATCGGATACATCGCAGGACTGTAATCACTAGAGCTCCCGCACCCATCCCATTCTCACTCCAAACTATCCCATCTCATGGTTTTCATTTTTTCTACTCCTCTTAAACTGGCTCTTCGTTTTTTACCAATTTTTATCTATTTTTTGCTATTCCACTTTCACATATGATGTCAAGATAGCTGGGTCCGCGGAGCTTCACTGCACAGAATATTATTGACCAACTACACTGTATATTTGTGTCTCTTTATCATTCATTATTGTTGATCACTATTATTTTGCCTCCATCATGGTTGACCGACTAAACTGAAATGAGATTTATTCACTCGAATGTGTATTATTTAAGCTCAGGAACAATAATGACAGGTATTTCGTCTTTATTTTCTTCTTCTTTTGCGTTCCTCACAAAATCAGCGGTTTTTTACTTATAACTTTTAATCCAATCAAATGTCTCATCTTTTTTTCTCTACTCTACTCAAATTTGTCAAAACCAACAAATAACTCACTCCTTTCCACCCTGGATACCAGGAACGTAAATGTTAAGGAACTGATAAATGACTTGCACCTGTTTTTCTTTGTCTTTCGGATCATTTCAGGTGCTATCCGGAGCCTACAGCTTGTTAATACCCTTATCATGTCTAGAAACATGGTTTGCTGTGACAAGTCCCAAGTGCACCCAACCGATACGGTGCATAGTTTCACTTTACCGTCAAGGATGGGGGGATACATGGAGATACAATCACACAACGTTTATTTTTATGGCTTCTCTGCCTGTGCACTACATCTTTGGGTTATTTAGTTTTCTCCCTCCATTGACGTATCCATGGTGACAATCTTTAACGATCAAGTCTGTACCCGAGACCTAAACGCCTTCAGGAGTTGAATTTGCTCTGATGGTAGATGTATGTAGTCACTGGTCGTGAACCGCTTATTGCTTATTGACTCTATGTATGTGTGCAACCGCGCGAGTGCAAAACCACGGTGAGGCATCCACGTACGGAACTTCCACCTGCCTCCTTGATGCTTTACTGTCAAGAAAGATACGAGACGACAACCCCGATGTGTCTCACTGCGTCATCACACTCTTTTCGCCCTGTTCTGCATAGGGCTCCTGGACTCCCTCGTGCCGCTCTTCCTCCCGGCCGGAAACCACCTGGCCCTCCGCCAGGCATCCCACCAGAGCTTTCAGACAGTGAAGGGGAAGAACCGTCCTCAGAATCCTCTCGGCAACGCCGTATTCGCTTCGCGGACGCAGACAATTCCTCGGTAATCTCTCATGTCCTCATACTTTTGACCCTTTCACATTCTCGTTTGTGCTCAGACATCCTCCACGTCGTCATATACATTAGTTTGTATTTTGTTCATTATAAGTAACCATTCCGCACTGCTTTTTTCCGTGACCTGCCATCCTTGGAAACGCTATCTATTCTCATGAGCTTGTCCACACCGTTGTTTCTTGTAACCCTTCCATAATTTCAACATTCCCTTTGGTGCACAATGTTCAAAGTCCGTAATTTTTCTACATGCCCATGCATCCATCATTTTCTCTGTTTACTTCGCGTGCTACGCGACGTGTCACCTTTAGCACAATTAATCGCGAACCGTCCCTCTCAATTTATCTTCAGTTATCGCTTTCTACATCTCTTGTTCTGTTTGCCTTTTTCTATCTTGTTTGAGTTCACTGGAGGGCAGGTCTGATTTCACTTAGGATTTTTATATGCATGTTCTTCTTGTCAAGTCGGTGAGCAAACAGGTTGCTAACGTCTTAACGCGTTTTTGACAGCTCGGTTCAGGCTCAAATGATAGACTATTTCTCTGGCACCTCTGGTGATACTCATTTACTTACTCGAAGCGTTTGCGATATGATTGCTTCACTCATTGAAACTGCTTCGAACAACCAGGTCGTAGTAACCCCAGTGAATTGCCATATGTATTCAGTTCAACCTCGAAACCCCATAGTAGGTAAGGAGTACCGTCCAGAGACACGATTTCTTTTAATTATTTCGATGTTGATCTCACAAACTGTATCTTGACGAGCGTCAGATAAGGCTCTGTCCGTATGGCCGGAAGTACGACTATGGTGACAGTTGCTGATGGAACCACCGTTCAGTTTGTTTGAAAAACGGAAGGTAGTCCGAAGAGATTATCGGTTACGGATTCGACAGGTTCGAATCCGGAAGGATTCGGCGGTTGCGCACTACTGGCGAGCCCCAATAGGGCGAAACGGCCGTCTACCGCTTTTCTTTATATGTGGTGGCTGTCTGCCTGAGTCTAACTGCGATGAAGCTTCACAAAATACCTAATAAACCCCCTACTACTTCCAAATGTTTCTATTCACCTTAGGCACGGATCCAGAGGAAACTCTAGAAGTGATAGTTGAGCAAGTGAACATATAAACCGACTTCAGACTGCTATGTAGTTAAGTGAAAAGTTTCGAGGATTTACTTGGCCCAGCGGCTATCTGTTGATTCGTTTTGTTCCTCCTAGGATGATAACACCACGCACCGCTGATTCACAGAGATGAAGTGCAGACCAGAACTATCTCATTTCACACGAAACACATCCGTGTTGTCCGTTTGTCGTTTTACTGTAGGGTAGTTGAGACTGTTTACTGACCCGCCAACTTTGCTCTCCACTGTGCAGTACACCGACATGTTCCATCACAACGAGGCTGGTGCAGTCGTTCGCGTACCCTCGTAACCCTTTGAGCTGTGCCTTCAGAGCCACTCATACCACACAGGTCAATGGTTAGGGTTCAGACTAATTCAGTCTCACAACCCAATCCTCCTCGGAGGTTAGGGAATGGTCGGTGGCCGTCTTCATTTATAACCTCGCTATGGGAGACTGGGTCTACAGTTTCTAAGCTCACAACTCGATTGGGTTAGAGCACGAGCGTCACGCATTGTCTCTGACGATAGGAGGGCACCTTCCTTCGCTCAATGGTTTGCTACCGTCTGCCTCAAGCCAGGCATTATCATCATTATAAACGCTAGTTGCAGTTGGAAAACACCACAGCTATGGTGCCGCACTACAAAAGAAAAGAAACAAAGTGAAACTGTAGCACACCGGCTGAGTCACCTATAACGGATGGACATCGTTCCGAGAGCTAACAGCCGGCTATTGTGCTGCAAAAGTCACATTACACCTATTAATTTAGATCGTGGTTGGAGGGGGAAGTTAAGCGGAGGTGGATGGACAAAGAAACTCACAACACCAACGCCATTGACGTCTACCCCTAGCCATGTCAATAGGTGTATCTAACCAAACCTGTTCATCGTCCTTCGGTCCCCCACCAGGGAGCCGAGAGGCCCCAACCGAGGCCAACTTCGAAATGAGGGTTTTCATCTCTCTCGATCAAGTCATCGATTAGCCACCTCTCTTCTTCCATCCTCACCCCTGGCGCGCAAACAATGCACGTCGCGGAAGTCGGTGTGCTGGCATGCGCAACCCGTGGCCCAGCCATCGGAACCTGGTGCGTGAAATAACGATGCTGAGCGATTCACTTCTTCTTTCTGCGCCATAAACAAGGCGTCGAACACGCTCATTTCTCACACAGTGTTCCCACTTGATATGAGCCGGACTGCGTGGGCACCAGTAGTCGAACTTAAGTAGCCTCTTTATGTCGGCTGGTCTAAGGGGCCAGGTTTCACAACCGTACAGTTTGGTCGCACGTACGGCTGCATTGTATACCCTACTCCTTAGGGAGAGTGTGATGTCTCGCCGGCGCCATAGGTGGTGAAGGTTATGAAAAGCGATTCGAACTTTTGCTATACGGTCTGTGACCCCGTCTTTAATTCCAACAGCGCTGATACAACTATCTATGTAGTTGAACTTTTGAACAACTTCTAGCTGATCCCCACCAAGGGTCAACGCAGGAGGCGGTCCCTGCCAATCTTGGAGGAAAGCTTTACACTTGGAGGGTGCAAAGCATAACGCGAAACGGGTGACAGTCAGTGCTAATCTGTCCAGTGCCGCTTGGCACGTTAGTGAGCCGTCACAGATTAGGGCAATATCGTCTGCATATTCTAAATCATGGTCGTTCACCTGGGAGCAGCTTCCCACCATTTAAGTCGTGCCTTGTGAACGCGATCTCCATGACTTCGTCAGTGGTAAAGCTGAAGAGTAAAGGTGACAGCGACATCCTTGTCTTACACCGCTGGAGATATCGATAGGCGATAGTTGGGGTTGAAAAGGCGAGGATAAAAGTGAAGTTGGAACGGGATGGTAAGGGCGGAAAAGCGTTAGAGAGGGAATAATAAGACGTGAAGGCTTGAGCGGTACCATCCAAACTCTATCTACCCTGCTCGATGCAGTGATACGGCGCCGGTGGCCAGAGTATCAGGAAATTGTTTGACGAAGCTTGCGTAGTATTGCGTGGGCAGGATGCTGTCTGGTTGCCCAGGCCTAGACAGGAGAACGATTAGAGTTCTCAACCAAAGCCTTTTAGTTCAAAAATTCGACCGCAAGCTGCGGGTTTAGCAGTGGACTACAAGAAGTCCGTTTTAAAGAATAAGGGGCCGCCTTCATTCCAATCCTTAACTTGGAGGGCCAGGAGACTGAGTTCGTCTGGACTCTAACCATTTATCAATCTGGTGTGAGTGACTCTGAAGGTGCAAAAGCACCACCCAGCATGGCTCAATGGATCGCTGAGGCACGCAATCCATCGCACCACGGTAAGCTCCAGCCTGATTGGGATGGCTCAAGTCAGGCAACCCCTTGTCAGCTTGGTGCAAACCCGCCAACTCCCATCTGCGACTGTCCGTGGCCGCACGTGCGTAGCAATACGATCCTACAACATATGTGCACTATTACAAATCTTCAGAAACTGTATGTGAAAATCCCAAGCAGGTCCCAATGGGTCTCTGCAATCACACTCCCGAGCTGGACTTGTTCCCCGTCGCTTTGTGATTCAGGCTATTGAGCCAAAAGCTTCGGGTGGAGTCACTCAAGAGAATATCCATGTACCTCAGTTTATGCCCTTACTATATGCAATTCAGAAGGTATCAAAGACTATTTCTATCGACAGCTCTCATCACTTCTTCGCATGGCGAAGAGTGCTGACATTGTGCTGGTTGCTGGTGACATGAATACCCAAGTAGGTTGTCTTTCAAACTGAACAACACCTGGAAGGATGCTTCAGAGTCGATGCACGATGAACAGACAATGACGATCGAATTTTGCAACTGTGCGCCGACCACAACTCTTACGTTGCAGCACTGCTTTCAACTACAAACCTTCACACCGCTTCACCTGGCGCCCACCGAATCCCTCAATGACCTGGACCCAAATTGACCATTTAGCTATCAGCTACAGGTGGCGCACATCAGTTCAAGATTGTCAATTAATTTGGAGTACATGCCTGGATTCCGCCCAAGCTGTAGTGCTCGCACGCTTAGAGCTCACGCTTTCCGCTTCAAAGAAGCACCTATCTTCTAACCTTCTTACCTGTAACTTGAACTCGCAATCTGCAGTTCAGCAATATCACGACGAACTGGCCCACCAATTGTCAGTGATGAATGAGGTTAGTGAACCGAATTCTGACTTTAATCGTTTCAAATGTTCCATGGAGAATATCGCTGGCGCCTGCCGTGCACCCAACTTGAGATGTCGTAAGTGTGCATGGACTTCCAAAGCATCGAGCGGTTTGAATGAAGCGTGAAAACACGATCCAATGGGCACTGAGTTTCAACGTATCCGCAACTCTGAAACGACGCATCGCAAGGCGTCTTGAATCGACCGGGAGCGTCGATGAATGGCAAAGGCGCATGAGATGGAAAAAGCCAATGCTTTTGGTAACAGCCGAGTGGTATTCCAACTCATTCGGAACACGCATCCGAGAAAGCCATCAGTTAGCGTGACACTACCTGAGAAAGACGACTAACTGATCCATTCTCAGCGTCGCCGACTATCCCGTTGGGCGGTTCGAAGAGCAGTTTGGCAGGCCTGCTGCGACATTACCGCTCGCCGAATCTCCTGAGCCATCGTGAGAAGCAGATGTGACACCTACTACTTTAAAAGAGATTCCACATGAGCTTTCCGTGTTGAAACAAAACAAGGCTCCTGGACCCGATGACCTTCCCCCGTCTTTGCTGAAAGATGTTAATGATCCTTTGTTGACTGGACTCGTCACGATATGGAACAGTGAAGAGGTACCTTCCGACTGCCAATTATCCTACCCTTCTTCAATGAGGATCAGTGTGGTTTATGCGCAAATCATCGAGGCATTAGCCTTGTTTCCGTTGCATCTAAGCTTCTCTTGGGTGGCA